TGGTGGGCAGCTGTGAAGAATACGCCATGTAGGTCCATCGCGGCCCAGAGCCATTTTCAGGGTCTTATCCACATGATGTAATATATCGAGGTATGCGTCGAATGCATCGGAAAATTGCTCCCGAAGTGTTGAAGTATAATTGATCTACATTAGATCAACTAGTTGCCCATAGCCTAGGGAAAGTATATACACTTACATTGGCCAGATCACATAGGACCTTCATCCACTGTTGCACACTGAATTGGGGGCACCGAAGCCGGCATCGCCGATAAAGCTCCAGGGTCGGAATAGGTATGGCGAGCTTGGGTTCTAATGGTGATGCTCCCAAAAGACCATGAAACAGGAGAGTTTCGTTCAGATAGTCATGCCGTTCATCCTGAGGTAATCCTCGCGCGGGTTCATAACCTTCGGAAATCAATGTGAATGATGTAGCTATTATTAGAAGACTTACCTTCGATCCCCAGGACACAAATATATACATATTTTGAACCACCTTGAGCTATCGATGCATGAACACCATACTTATACTGCATGTATGAATTATATAAGACCGGCATTTGCGTCTGCCAAGCCTCACGAAATAAGTGTCATCGAGACTGTTTGCTTTGAGAGGCATACTTTCGTTTGCTGAATGAATGTAAGAAATTTGTTTATGTGTGTGTAGTGTAAATACATACCTGCCAACGGCGTCTTGTGCATGTTGAGAAATTGGAAGTTGTCACCTCCTTCGTGGCTTAAATCCACCAGTACTTCGTGATCAGGTACCGGAATGTTCAATGGTAGGTCTTCCCATGCGTCTGCATCGCCTATCATCCCGTCATCTATACCGACTGTGTTCCCAGTATCCAGTGCAACTCGGATAGCAGCGCGGCGCGACTGCTCTGGTAGCGCTAAAAGAAGTGTGTTAGATGAATAAAGTGTTGCTGTGAAACCTGCAGTACACACCATAGAGTTCAGCGCGTCGCACTTCATCCTCAAGTTCCCGGTGGGCTGCCAATTTCGCGTTGGAAATACGTTGCAAGCCCGGTGCTATACGAGCACGACCGTCTCCAACATCTGAGGGAGATCGTCGTCTTCTCCCTAAGCGGTTGATAATTACCCCTTTGCTCCCACCGGTCTTCACGCGTTGAACCGTGAAGCCTTGACCTTGGGGCATGTGTAAGATGAGGTGGCGAATTTGTTAGGTCACGTGATTCAACCTCCTCGGTTGGCATGATGTCATTCCACTGAAGTCCTTTCGAAAAGCTTCGAATGACATTATGCCAACCTGCCGAGTATCTCCTGAATTTTAGGTATCTTCAGTAAATTTTTCTTGTCTATATGTTTAGTTTTGGATGACAAGCATGCTCGCTGGCTGCCATGACGAGCACAGGCTCCGCGTGAACCGCTAACGATGAGAGAAGCTCAGATCCGTCAGCTCCTCATTTTTAGGATAATTGCCATATATTTATTATACATCAATATTTATTTACAATGTTGACTGCGTGGTCATCGTCGGCGACGACGAGCACGGGCTCCGCGCGATGGGCTAACGCTGAGAGAAGCTCAGATTCGTCATCTTCTCATTTTTAGGATAATTGTCATATATCTATTATACATCAATATTTATTTACAATGTTGCTTGCGTGGTCATTGTCGGCGACGACGAGCACGAGTGGTTTGCAGTGGTCCGTGGGATGATGCCGTGTTGTTCCGGAAACTGACATCGGACGACACCGGATGCATGAGCCTAGACGCGTTGATGACATGAGTCCACCAAATTTCTAGTTAGACTGAGACCACACAATGTGGGGTGTGGGTCCAACTGGATTTCCATTTGGTGCCGTACAGGTGTCCCGATGATGCTCCAACGCGGGCGACAATTCGAGTCCGCCCGACTACTGATTTCCCAGAACCTATGGTAGGTAGGTATCAGAGGTTTTCGTCTTACTTTGTACGTGAGCCAATTGTCTAGCACCCGGCGAGGCCACCGATAGGCCTATATATTTCTCTGCCTGGTTGGGTGGGTGGGGGACCCAACTGTCACGAAGTCCCAACACCCAATTTCCGTCCCAACAGTCTTCCAATCGTCGTAAGTCTTTCTATACGCTATGATCTTTATACACGTATGATTGATTTCATTTTGCAGTTATTCTTAGTAGTACTACCGGTAGGTGATTTTTATATATAGTTTGTATTTAGAAAGCCTCAAGCCGTGAAGCACCATCCAGTCAAGTCCGGGGCTTGAACATTACCTTGAAACGAGTGGCAGCAAACCTCGTCTAAATCGTACTCACGCTGTTCGCATGTATGATTTTGACTTTCCTTAGTATAACCTACAATCCCGTAGAATTAGGGCTACTCCCCGGGAAGTCACCGTTTACAGTAGAAAGCCTAGAAGGTTCTATGATATGTTGTTGAATATGTAAGTATTGTTGTTTGGATCATAGAATTAGTGTGGAATGGGATATGATAGTATGTTGAGTTGATAGTTGAGACATTTTGGAATGCTGTGATAGATGACAAGTGGAGTTGATGGCTGTGGAAAAGAGGGAGGGAGATATGACAAGTATTTGAACCTTATAACTCGAAGACGATGTAAACCAGGACTAAAAGGCTGCTTTTATACAAGCGTAGTTAGGAGATAATTTATCGAAACAAGGGTGCAATACACCGCACTTCGCTTTAAATACCTGACGTAGAAATCCAGATGATATTCTACGTATCTACGGGATATCCTCAACGTTTTCATCAACTAGCGCGGACTCGATACTTGGGTAAATGTCGACGTTCTTACCGCGTTCCTGCTACATATTAACCAAGGATCGCCCCAATTTATTTAATATTAATATAATTCTGGTAAATAATTAGCGGGGCCGCCGCTCCAGCCGCTGATCACGCTCGGGATAATTAACAACGAAAAATAAAATAAAACTAACTGATGCACTGGCCACAGTGTGTAATATATAATAATATACACATGGATCTAAAACAAAACGTGAGAGCTGAAATGAAGGCTCGACCTTAGAAGGGAGATACTGTTATGACCGTTCATTTCCAACTTCCGACCTTCATAGACACATTCCGATTCTGATACTTCTTGATCACTCGCTTCCATCCCCCTTTCCCCACACATCACACACTCATTACATCCCACTTCATACGAGTCCACTCCCATTCGATAAGTAGAATACACGTACATAACAGCAGCCGGCACTCCAACCCCCGTAGCACATGTCTCGTACATCCATCCACCGGCGCCGGTGACACCCTTTTTTTGACTTAGCACGCTACACACAGGGGATAAAAGCTGTCGTATGTATAGTAGAACACTAGTCAATTAGAACTCACCTTTCGAAGCTATTTGGAATCTTGCGACGCATACACCTGCGTAGTTTTCACTAAAGAGCATACACACCTTGTGTTTACTCTATCTGTCTGCATTTACGACCCCACTCGATTCGACTTCGAGTCGAAGTCTGAATCTACATCTGACTCATCATCAACCGCTCTTAATCTTTCACAGATGATACTGAATCCGACGGTGATGAGGTGGTCAAAGTCAAACGGAACAACACTTTCAATGTAAGTGGCGATCAATGCGGTATATAAGGCTATACTTACCTGGATCCAGACACTCATTCCTATCGCTTCTTATCGCATCATGGGGATCGAACAACAAAATGGGATATTGAAGCGTGCACTGCAGCGTGGGTATTGGATCAAATCTACAGGTGACGATGGAAATGCCGAAGAATACTTACGTCCAAACTTTGACGGGACATGGAACAATAACGTTGGTTCGCATGAGAAGTTCTGAAGATTGTGCCAGCCAACGCGGTGGGGTGGGGCCATGGAACTCTTTCCGAGGCCGAATTTTCAAAATTTGGTAATGATGATATTCTGGAGCAGCTTTGCACAGTGTTCAAGGGATGTAAAAATCGCTACAAGAGACAATGGAAAGAGGAAGATGAAAAGGTGACGGATGCGAAGGAAAATAGACGCGATGGACGTAAGAGCCGTGTAAGTGCTTGCCTTGTTTCAATCATTCGTCAGCTGCACAATTGTCACACGCAGAAAGCCATGGCTCGGCGTGAGGTGCGGGTTCAAGTACCAAATCTAGAAGGTAGCAAATTCGACTGGATGTTTGTCCCGCAATATCAGTCGAGTGATGAAAGTCAATGGGAGGATGTGCTTAGCGAGAATACAGATGAGGAGACGGCGCAAAAGGCCGTCAGGCGTATTAGAAGTAATAAGCCGTGGCTATCAAGGCCACCTACCTATCGTTCCGCAGATCTGAGTTCATGGATTCAACATGTGAAGAACGCTCACTCATTATTTCTCCAGATGGCAGAGTTGGCGGGCCACGGCTTAGCGTTTGAGCTCGAGTGCCTGGTTTACCTCGTCTGCCTTGAGGTGACGCTCACGGGTGCGAGGGATCTGAAGCAAGCGGCCCCTGCAGTCTGTGCAGTGGCAGGGTGCAGGGATGCGTGAACGTACGGATGGTATGTTGACCGTACGGTACAACGATGTAGCAGTCGGCACGTCGGACCTTTTGTGCAACAGTGACGCGTCAACAACGCGTCGAGGGTGATGACGCGCAACATAGAATTATGTATATGATATATTACTTACACTACTATGCAAGCAAAAATAACAAGTTCACATATATCCCCGGCAGAGACTTGGATAATATTTGGAATATTGGCTCACATATAACCTAAATGTCTCAATAGGAGATATTTGGCACATACTCAGAAGATATTTTGTGTTTTACTCAAATTTATTAAGGAGGCATTTTGGTTCAAAGTGCGGTGATAAAGGGCTCCAGTCAATGGTCCGTGGCTAAACTAATAATGAGAATAACTTTTCGTCAATTTGTACATCTGAATCTTTTCAAATGAGTACTGTCCATATGGAAGAAGTTAGCCGAATGTTTACAATCAATCACTGGTGTTCATATTCCTTCCTATTTCGTTTTGGCATTGTATAATAATGGTAAGAAAAATGTGAGTTATCATGGCAACATGACCGAGTGGTTAAGGTGTCAGATTCGAACTGGTCGGTCCTATCTGATCCTCTTTGAGGGCGCAGGTTCGAATCCTGCTGTTGTCGGCCTCCTTTTATCTGCCCAGCCTCGGCACAAGAATGTGTATAAATGCCCTTTTCTCCCTCCCTTGACCGCCTTACGTGTTTATTATTTTATCAAATTCGACTATAATACTATTATAATATGATGCCAGGAGCCATTATCAATGCAACAATGACACCGTCACCGACATATCGTGTATATACTACCAGCAAGGAAGGAGAAGCCAAAAGATTGTTCCTCAGTCCTGGCATTTCCTGGCATGCACACTAATACACACCCCACACTAAACACCCATTGGAATAATCCAAGTACCAAGTAACACGAGTAAAATCATAACATATTATTGTCTACTAGTCGAGAGCTCTGGAGCATAGTATCCGCGGCACGAAGGAGACGGTAGCGGTGTACGTATCATGGAGGTACCTTAATGGAACCACTACCCGGGTATCTTCAGTTCAGAAACCCTCCACAATCTTCTTCACGAGTGGAGCAACCACCTTGCGAGTTGCTTTCGTATTTTCCTGCTTCCAGATACGAGCTATTGACTTGCTGGCGGTGACTATGTCTCCGTCTGGGAGCCTGTCCATACCTTCCAACAACGACCTCTTATCCATGTTTCTGTGCTTGAGGTTCAGATCTGTAGAAGCCTCCATCCCCTCCCATAGAGCGTTCCGTAGGCTTTCGCGACCACGCTTGACTATCCACAAGTTCTGCCGCTTATGCTCCCCACTTTTCGGCGAGTTGTAAGTGCAGAGAACACCAAGCGCATCCAGTCTTCGTTCGTCAAGCCATGCATCCATGGATTTCCAGAAGTCTGGGGATGCTTCTTTATTAAGCCAGTCTTTTATACTCAAAGGCACAGTCGCAATCCCCACGGTGATACGATGCGAAGCATCCGAAGATGAGTTAAATGCATACTCTTTGTAATCTCGTCGGAGAAGGTCTCGAGTTGAGAGATGGGCAACCGATTGCTTACGCACATGAAGTGTCCGGATCAACCTTTCCAGGTCATCGGAAGTTGGTTTAGGGCCAGAGGACGAAGCAAAAGTGGACTTGGGTAATAAAAACTCGACCGCTCTGTGATCCAATAATACAGCCTTTCCGCCAACTTTTAACCCTGCTGTGTCAAGGAAAATAGCACACAACAGTAATGATGCGAGTTCCCCCGGAGGAGCGACATCTGCATTCTCCCAGGACCCCATGAAGTATTGGGTCACTAGTGACGCACAGCTGCCCACGGGTACAGTGATGAGTCTGGGATCCGCCCCTTTGTGGAAACCTTCATCGTCATGATGGTCAATGATGCCTATCACTTTGGGAGGGCTATCAAGGTCTCGCCCGGCGGAAAGCCGGGAGGCAAAGCGGTTGTGATCAACTAACGCAAACGAAGAGTAGGAAAGGTAGGGTAATGACTCTGGAGGAATGTCATCCAAGCAGAGCAATTCCGTTTGATGGGATTGAAGCCGAACTATCTCGTACGCGTACAAGTTTTCTGCGCGAAGCTGGAGCTCTGCACGAAGAGTCTGAAAGAGAGGAACCGTGGGCCGTTTGAATAACGTAGAGGCAAGATAAGAATACGCTATTGAGCACGCGGCAGAGTCAAGGTCTACATGCATGATCCACCCTTAGACGATTTCTGATGGAGGAACAGAACGCACATGCCTCCTGCCTCGTTCCCCATTACAACAGTCCAATCTCCAGCTTTGCCGGTTTTCAGCGCCTCAAGGTATCTGGACCTGTTGAGAGCTAAGAAATTTGAAAGCGAACTTGTTGATGAAGTCATGATATTGGACCTAAGAGCCAGTAACCCAGGGAGGTAGCGTTGGAGCGGCCTTCTCATTCAAGTGTGACGGAGATTGAATTCGGTCTAATTAGTACTTTCTTACCGCCATGTCTTCACCCCTCCCATATCCTTCCTCAGAAGCTGACGATGTGGTCATGAAAGATGACGTGCCTAATGTAGAAACTATCCCAAACGCGCCGAACGCACCCACTCGACTACCACTTTTCAATCCTTCGTCGCCGTCTATTACGGGGACGCCAAAACGTGGTGGACCCACGAATGTCGCGTCTAGCTCGCCTATTCGCGGTGCAGTTGCTAGGAGAGCCTTAGGTTTGGCTTCACGGCAACTTCGAGAAGGAAATGGTGAGTAACGTCGCGTCAAATGACTGGTTTTACGCGTTTTACCAGGCATGTAGGCACGTCATCGCCTATGGACGTATCCCCTCTTGAATTTCCGAGTTCACCTACGCCAAAGCGTAATAGACGTGGTGATATCCATTCGTCCGCGGTTGAATCGCCAGCACTTTTCCGTAGTCCCAGGTCAACTATCGAGGCTCCCAACTCAGATGCCACGAACATTGCCCTTCCACAGTCATCTGCACCAACTCTTTCTGCGCCTGGCGAGCCGTCTGAAGGACCTGACAATTATCGCGCTATATGGGGAACTAATGTATCTCTTCTTGAGTCCATGGCGCTCTTCACAGATTTTCTTCGTGGGTTCAAAATAAAATATCGCGTACACTGGGATCGCGAACACGGGCTCCCTACACGCCCAATGGCTTCACCCGAAGAAGGCGAAGAGCTACTTTACGAGACTTTTTTAAGACGTATGCGTAAAACAGGGCAAACAAACTTGAACCTGGATTCCGTTAATTTACTAGCATACCCACCCTCGCGCAAGCTCCATTCGCAATTGACTAAATACCCCCAGGAGATAATTCCCGCAATGGACCAGGTCTTAAAAGACCTCATGCTAGGCCTTGCAGAAGAAGACCATGAAGCGGGCATAGAAGGCATGGGTGGTGAACAAGGCCGGGAAGAAATCGACGAAATTATAGGGAGGGTGTACAAAGTCAGACCTTTCGGCGAGAAGGCTGGCAATATGAGAGACCTGAACCCAAGCGGTCAGATATACGTCTCTTCTCCACCTGTTTTATTGACGCGTTCTTCTCGTAGACACCGACAAACTTGTAACCATCAAAGGACTTGTGATCCGAGCGACGCCTGTCATACCTGACATGAAGACAGGTTTGTCATCTTACGCTCGAACCTAACAACACTAATAATAACACTAACAAAAAAAATTTACAACCAGCCTTTTTCCGGTGTCTAACTTGCTCCCACACTGTGCAGGTTGAGATTGATCGAGGTCGCATCGCCGAACCAGAGCGATGCCCTCGTGACTTGTGCCGCTCCGACGGAACCATGAACCTCATTCACAACCGGTGTGAGTTCGCTGACCGACAGGTGGTGCGTCTACAAGAGACACCTGATGCAGTTCCTGATGGTCAGACGCCCCACACGGTATCGCTTTGCGTATATGACGAATTGGTTGATATTACCAAGCCTGGTGATCGTCTTACTGTGACAGGTATTTTCCGCAGCGTGCCCGTTCGCGTTAACCCACGACAGCGGACAATAAAGAGCTTGTTCAAGACGTATCTCGACGTCGTACATATTAAACGGGGGAGTAAAGATCGCCTTGGGTTTGATAGAAGTACCCGACTGGGAGAAACGAGAGTACCGGGAGTGGGGGATATTGAGGTTGCAGGTGGAGAGGATGGCGACGAGGGTGAGGTACAGGCTGAGTTGCATGCTGCTGAGGTACAAGGTGGCGGAGAGCCTGTCGGCAAGAGGGCCCAGCTCGAGGCGGAACTACGTCAGCTCAGCCAGAGACCCGAAATATATGAGCTGTTGGCACGCTCATTGGCACCATCCATATGGGAGATGGAAGATGTTAAAAAGGGCATCTTATTGCAATTATTCGGTGGTACCAATAAGAGCATTTCAAAGGGAGGCGGCGGCGGAGGCCCAAGGTATCGTGGGGACATCAATATTCTTCTTGTCGGCGATCCAGGAACCAGCAAATCCCAAATCCTTCAGGTGAGTCCCGGTTGGGTTTGTACGAGACGGTTAGCTTACCGTTTCCAGTATGTGCACAAGCTGGCGCCTAGAGGTGTATACACCTCCGGGAAAGGGTCGTCCGCTGTTGGCTTGACAGCCTACGTGACTCGAGATCCAGATTCCAAGCAATTAGTGCTCGAGAGGTGCGCCGATCAATTTCTCGATGATAATTTTGCTGATAAACTTCGTTAGTGGCGCATTGGTCTTGAGTGACGGTGGTGTATGCTGCATTGATGAATTTGATAAAATGTCAGACGCCACACGGAGTGTGCTGCACGAAGTAATGGTTAGTTTTATTTTATTTTTGCCACTGCACCATGTCCCTTCTGACCTTCTTGGGCAGGAACAACAAACTGTCTCCATCGCTAAGGCAGGCATTATTACTACGCTGAATGCGCGAACATCTATTTTAGCAGCTGCTAATCCTGTGGGATCGAGGTATAACCCCAAGTGGCCTATCACTCGCAACATTGATCTGCCTCCAACACTTATTTCGAGATTCGACCTGCTGTACCTGGTGCTGGACAAGATCGACGAGGTGGCAGACAGGAAACTGGCCCAACATCTTGTAGGGTTATATCTGGAAGACAACCCTGCAAGCGGCACACAGGACATTTTGGTGAGATATTTTTGGTCATAAGACAAGACTTCAGACTATCTTATGATATATCAGCCCCTGGAAACTCTTTCGGCATATATTCTTATTCACGGTCCAAAATTCACCCGGTATTGACGGAAGAAGCATCCCAGGAGCTTGTCTCGTCTTACGTAGAGCTTCGCAAGATGGGGGAAGATCCTGGATCATCTGAACGTCGTATTACTGCGACAACTCGTCAGCTTGAGAGCATGATCCGTCTCTCGGAAGCGCACGCACGCATGCGCCTTTCAATCCTCGTCGAGCTGGGAGATGTGAAAGAGGCTTGTCGTCTCATGCGTGAGGCTATTCGCACATCCGCAACGGACCCACGGACAGGGGAAATAGACATGGAAATGCTCAACACTGGCACAGGGCAGCATCAGCGCAAGTTGCAAGCGGATTTAAAGCGAGAGGTTCTGAAGTTAATTGAGGGAATGGGGGGGAACAGAGGCGTTCGCTGGGCGGATGCAGTCAAACAA